AGAATCTATCTGCAAAATACAACAGTGAATTTACAGCATGTGGTCATGAGTTAATAATCTCCTATCAGTGGTTTAATGCCATCAAACAGTCCCAGAACTCTTCTTCCAATTGAAGTGTTATACAGATAAAGATGGTAATTCATTAGTACAAATATATAGTTAGTTCATTTGTGTAGTATAGACTTCTAGGACATCAGCAATAATGATGAGAGTATTTGGATGAACCCAAAAATCTGACACTGAGTTTTTCCTGATAGTTCTAGTTTTGTAGCTGTGTCTGTGCCCTGAAGATTTTTTTCCTTACTTCTTTCTTTTTGTTATTCTTTGGACAGTATTGCAGATACTATAATTTTCAAAGTTTGAAATCTGTCACTATTACAACTATTAATACCTTGCTTTGAAATCTCTCAAAATAGTGTTCAAATACACCGATTCTGAAACTCACAGTGAAGAGTTGGCAAACCTCAAAGTTGCTCATGAGCACTATCCAACCACTTTTCAAATTTCTTAGTAACTTAACGATAAAAAGTAAGACAAGGAGAACTCAACTAACCCCAATGCTACCATGTTACAAAACTATAATGACATCTCACAGTATACATTAGCATTTTATCTGATAATGAACTTAGACCAAGATGAAAAAGTACATGGAGAAGATTCAGATGAGGTTTGCCTGGAATTAAGTTAAGCATATATCTGTATACCCTAACAATATACTTACTGGTACATTTCAGTTAGACCAGATTTAAATAAGCCTGGTGTTTTAGACACTACAACCTAGTTAATCAATAAGACATATGTAAAAAGTTTAGGGGTGCCAGGGTGGCTCAATCGACTAAATGTCCAATTTTGGCTCAGGTCATGATCTCATGGTTCATGGGTTTGAGCCTCATGTCAGTCTCTGCACTGACAGCTCAGAGCCTGGAGCATGCTTTGGATTCTGTGTCTCCCTCTCCTGCCCCTCCCCCACTCATGCTCTGTCTCTTTCTCTCACAAAAATAAACATTAAAATAATTTTTTAATATAAAATATATGAAAATGGTTACAGAGGAAGCCTTATCTTGAGATCTATACCCTAATAACCTAATATAAATAAATATTAGGCAGAATATAAATAGTAGTTAACATTTCATGGCTACTTATTTCCTAGACCTTACACTAAACATTTTTCATATATTAATTAGATGTTCAAAACCACCATATGAGGTAGGAACTATTATTGTCTTTATTTGACAATTGAGGAAGCTGAGGGACAGAGAGCATATTTACAGCCCCAAATTCTATGGATCAGACTTTAGAAAAACTGTTCTAGAATATATGCAAAGCTCTTTGTTGGCTTGACTGCAAATTCCTTGCCTAAATGCTCTTGTTCTAAAAGCTGAATTATATATGATAGGTGTTAGAAAAGCCACGTTCAACCAAGGAACAGAAACTAGATTCTGCAAATTTATTTAGGGTAATGATAAAATTAAGCCTTAATGATCAAAACATATGGAAACTCCAAGGCAATCTGCATCCTTCCCATAGACTTGAGTCATGGAGGATTGGCCAAGGTGGGGAGATTGCTCGACTGGGGATTATCCTCAGACAGCCAGAATGCCATGAGGCTTAGTTGAATGCCAGCCCTGGGAACAGGCCTTATCTCAGTAAAACTATGTATCAAGGGCCTCTATGTTTTGATGAAGGGGACCAAATTGGCCACTGATTCCTTGATATCTCTAAAGAAATTTGAAAAAAGATAAAATGTCAAAAACTCAGGATTAAACGGGGTAATGTATTTTACAATAAACATCAGGTAAAACAGGAAAAGCCTCGAAACTAAAAATAAATACATTACAACTTGCCAAAAGAATGTACTAATAGTTGATGCTGAAATAAAAAGAGTCAAAAGGTGATCCTCCCACCAAAGGCCAAAAAGTGACGTGGGTCCTTTCTTGGGGCTTGGTGGGGTTGAATCTTTGAGGACCAGTACCTCTTGGATATCTGTAGACTAAAGCCTGCATATCTATGTACTTATTCCAAAATAATTTTATAGTATTTCTAGGTATGATTCTAAATACTTTACAAATACTTACTCATTTAATCATCAACACAACATTGTGAGGTAGGTACTGTTATTAGCATCCCCATTTACAGATGCAAAAGCTGAGGCATAGAGAGGGCAAATTATTTGCCCTAGGTCACAGAACTAGTAAATGAAAGTTGAACTCAGACTAACTCCAGACCACTCATTCTTAAACACTATGAAGTGTAAAGAGGAAATATGGAAGTAGGAATTTGATCAGTGATATTAATGTTGGTTTTCACATAGTTCTGAAGTGTCATCAGAGACTGCAAAAGTTTTTTTTTTTAACATTTATTTATTTTTGAGAGACAGAGAGAGGATACAAACAGGGGAGGGGCAGAGAAAAAGGGGGACACAGAATCCAAAGCAGGCTCCAGGCTGCGAGCTGTCATCACTGAGCCCGAAGCGTGGCTTGAACCCATGAACCATGAGATCATGACCTGAGCTGAAGTCAGTGCTTAACCAATTGAGCCACCCAGGCACCTCAAGACTGCAAAACTTTCAAAACAAAATACCAAGTCCCAATGGGCCCTAGTCAGAGAATAATGAAATCAAACACTCTATAAGATGAATGTCAGAATTTAAATCTATACAGTTGATTTCTTCAACTGTAAAATTTGCTCATGAACAGAGAAAGAGAAACAAAACCAAAGGTCCCATAGGTCAAATTATATTTTCTTTTTTGGACTGCTAAGCTACGGTTTGCAAAGTCCTCATTAGTAGGATAACATCAGGGACCACAAGGGAAGCAAGGAACATTGCCTGGGTTCATAAAGCCTTGTGACCATGGTAGCCTTTCTTAAATAGTGTAGGCTGGCATGTTGGAATGGAGTTCAAAGACTACAAGCATTCTGATAGGAAAAGATGAGCTTTTAAAATATGGTCTGTTTCACAACCAAAAGGATCATTACTTCAATACTGTTTTGTCTTTCTATTTTACATTCATTATGTATTATACAGTTAGCCCCTGGCAGTTCCTTAAAACCATTCAAAGACATGCACATTCAAATTAATGTTTTTTGGAAAACTGTATTCCTTCCACATGAGATGGCAAAGTCTCTCTTAATTTCTTCACCAGAGCCTGTTCAAAAAATATTACAGAAATATCCAGGTAGCCAATAGGTCTGAAACAAATTCTTGTATGTTTAAAGAAAGGCTGTTTGACCAGTAAGTCATAGGTAGGAAAAGACATCCATTATACAAACAAGTGAACTCATCTATCATGTTTATTTAAGTGCCTACTCTTTGCCAGTACTACAGACACGACGATGTACTACAGACACATATTCCTGCCTTCAGGGTACTTGTAGACTAGTCAGAGAGATGGGCAGTCAAAAGATTGGGGCAAGGGGTGTATAATTACAAGTGGAGACCAATGATATAAAGACAACAGTTCTGTGAGTGTATAAGCAAAGAAGCTGGCCTAAACTTTGAGGCTGTAGGTGAGGGCAGCCTAGGATGGATGCTGTAAGAAGCAGAAGAAAACTATTCCATACAGAGGAAAGCAAGAATAAAGAAATATCCCATGTATAAAAGATTCTGTGATTGAATGAGCACAGCATCTTCAAGACCTAAAAGAGTACCCATATGGATGGTGACCTGAGGAGAAGGGTGGGGGGAAAAGTGGTGGCAAATTAGTCTGACAAAGTTGGCAGGGGGCAGACCACATGGGGCCTCATAGACTCTACTAAGGGTGGAGATTTTATTCCCTGATCAATAGGAAGGCATAGTTGTGGAATACCATGATCGAATATATTGTCGGTTTTCCACTGACATAAAAGGCCATGGTATTTATTCATTTTTTAATGTAATTGAAATTTTATGGATGGATGAATGTTTTCATTTATTTATAGCTTTACTAGGTTATGATTGACAAAAATTATATACAACCTTAAAAAGGTAAGGCATACAATGTGATGATTTAATATGTATAATTGAAAAATGATTACCACATCAAGTTAATTAACACATCCATCACTTCCTATTTAATCTAACCTTTAGTAGTCATGTAAAATGAAAACATATGTAAATATATAGAGGTGCGGTTCTGGATCACTAAAGAGGGCACTTCATAAACATAACTGGACAAAGGCAAGGAGCTTCTGCCTTGCTGATATTACAATTTCCCACACCCATCATCAACCATCACCTTTTCAAGTTTATAACCAAGGCAATGATTTAACACACTGAGCAGTAACTGAATGGTTGTTTGCTTATTTTTCAAAGAAGTGAAAGGAGACAGGATAGTTATGGAGACACCATCCAAACTACAAATAATACAGTGTCAGAATGGTTTTGCCTTATATTAGCAATTTGTCAATTGGACAATTGGACAAGCCAACATCACTAGATCTCACTTCCTTGCCATTGGTGTTTTGTAAGTCAGAACTAAGCAACAAGGGCTTTTCAGGGGACCTTAACTCACTACTTTGTAGGTATGGTGAAGGTGATCTGTTCAAAAAAATAGTAATGCAAAAAGGGACATATACTAACATGACTTTCAAAGGTCCCAGGGTCTTTGTGGAGCAAGAAATCATATAGTGTTAATCCTTTTGTGTACATATAGGGGATAAAAAATAACCACCTTACACAAATTTCTATGATTTTCATATCTTCATATTCATCTGCCATTGTGATGGAAGTGTTTCAAATCTGACTAAAGATCTACTCTGAACTTTATTTTGGAGACTTCTCCAGGACAAGCATGCACATGGATTCACCCAAAGGCATTCCATCAGTTAAATATATGCACAAATTCTCTGATAAATGTGCAGAGTCATTCTGACTTCCTTTTTTTTTTTTTTTTATGAGAAGGCCCTGGAGATTGCTATGCTCGCTCTCCTAGCCAGAGTCATTCTTGACATTGTGTTAAGTATTCAGACTTCCTTTGCAGTCATTTTATTTGTAATAGTGTCTTGTGTGTTGTGTCTCCTAGCTCTACATACAAACTACCACGCTTACAATCTCCATGAACCTAAGTGCATCAGTGGCGCTGGGGATGCTATACATGCCGAAAGTGTACATCATCATTTTCCACCCTGAACTCAATGTCCAGAAACGGAAGCGAAGCTTCAAGGCGGTAGTCACAGCAGCCACCATGTCTTCACGGCTGTCACACAAACCCAGTGACAGACCCAACGGGGAGGCAAAAACAGAACTCTGTGAAAACGTAGACCCAAACAGTAAGTAACTTTCCTTTCCTTTCATCTTCCCCTACTACATCAGGAAGCTCTAGGAACTGTGGTATCAGCCTGCCTCTCCTTGCAGAAATATTATGTCCATCCTTGTCTTAACTGAGTGGGTTCCTGGATAAATGCGAACTTTTGCTCTTAAGAGTTTGCCTCATTCTTGGCCTCATGTCATTTTTGCTCCCTATGAGAAAAAAAGCTTTTAGAGGCTCTGCTTTTGAAGTGTGAAATCTCCCCCTTCCCTTCCTTCTTATCCTTTGGTACCAAACACTTCAAGTGACGTAAACATACCTGTCGGGCTGTGACCCACATTTCTTGCTCTCTCCCTATTAGAGAAACAACTTCCCAGTAGGGAAATTTTAACACTTGATTAAACTGTAGTAGTGGGAAGGAAACTGGAATATTTAATAACTCAGAAAGCAAAACTCCTTTCACTGGAATGTGAATGTGGAGAGCATTAGGATTCTTTACTAAGCAAGCTTTCTAGAAATAAGAAAACACCCAATTATATAGGCCATCTACCACCATGCTCATGACACCCCCACATGGGGAAAACATCTAAGACAAAACATTAGGTCGGGGATAAAGGGTGAAATGTTACATTTGATATGCTTATATCTGCAACCCCTGGGTAGCCTGCAAATGACTACAAAAAGATGGACATACTTTTTTAGAAAATAAGACCGTGTAACTAGAGGTTAAATGCATAGAATACCCACTTGCTACTTTTACTAACAGTATGGTGGTAAGAGTGCATTTTAGATTAAAAATACTACTTCCAGTATTTGTTTTCTAGGAACAAGTTGACCAGTTCCAGACAAAATGTGGCAGATTTTCATACTTCCTGTTTTTAAAGTAGAGGGGGATTCAGGTTGTCCGTTAAACCATTCAAGACATTTTTCAGTTATCAACTTTGCCAAGCAGAAAGGAATCCCTATTCTAAGAACTCTGAGGTAATCCTTTGTACTCTGCAAAGAAGAGACAGATCTTTAAAGAGCAGGAGGCAACAGAGTTTGTTTTTGACAAATCCTGTTCAGAGATCCATGATCTTGGCTCATCTCCATTTCTAAGCAGTTGGCTGAGTGAACACTGTGAAACTCTTTGAAAATACATAGACAAGGTACCAAAGGCTTGTTAACAACACCGTGGGCTTTATTTTGACCCTCTAATAGAAGGAATTCTGGGACAAGGCAAGAGGAAAGACAAGGACCACAGCATGAGCAAGGAGAAACCAAATCAATGTATAGGCTCTGTTCTTGTGTCTTCAGAGCAAATGGTCAATAGAGAGGAGGGGAAGTGGATGGCGAATCCCGTGGTAATTCATGTGACATAGGAAGAGGCTTCGGGTTGAGACAGACCTGGGTTCAAATCCCATCCACTCCACTTCCCAGCTGTGTGGCTTTGAGAATCACTGAGCTTTCTTAAAGCTCAGCATCTTCATGTTTGGAATGGAGATAATAATACTTATGTAAGATAATAATACTTATGTAATAAGGGTGCCATAATGTATTAGGTATCTGAAAAATAATATATCAATTGTTATTGTCCTTTTATTCCTTAAAAGGCAGAAAGTTCTGCCTAAAAGTAAATGTAGATGCGATGGTTACAGTTCAAGGCTGTATGGAGGTAGACAGAACTAATGCCCCAAAAGAAATATTTCCATGAACAAATATGCTTAAGCATTTATTTTTATGCATACCTGTATTGATAAATATACCTGCACATTTATACTTCTGTAGTGTTTTATTCTAGGACCCCTTGCATTTTTTAAAACCCTTATCCTAGAGACATTCCATTAACAGTTTTGCATGTGTATCTGAACACACTCAATTTAAGTAGATGTGTCCAAAAATCAGTAAGTGGAATATATGATCAAAAGTCTATATGTATTGGAAAAAAATGAGCAAGTTAGAAGTTTTGAATTTAGACAACTCAGTACTTCGCTACTTAAAAATAATTAGCTTTCAAACAACATTTGTACTGTTATTAACTTTTAATGATTAGGTTCTATCCTTGTTGAAGCTGTTTTGGATAGGATAATGGTTGTAAAATGCTAACACTAACACTAATAGCTAACACTAATAGCGATATTAATACGACTAATAATGCTCGCAATAGCTACACTTTGAAATAGGTATTAATCCAAAATGCTTTGTGTGGAAGATCTCTTACCCCTCACAGTAACTCTGTAGAATGAGAATTGCTTTTCACTGAAGAAACCTAGGCTTAGTGAGATTAAGTGCCATTACCAAAGTCACACATATAGTTAACAGTGGAGGTTGGACTGAAACCCAGGTCTGAGTCTCAAATCCATGCCTGCTTCTCTTTGCTGTTCTATTTCTTAGAACCTAAGGGGCATGTCATAATTCCAAAGCAGAAATTACTCTTTTGGTTTCCTCAACTGGTGATTCAAGTTGCATATAAAGAATATAATGATGTCTGTGGCAGACTCTTGAGTTAAATGTGCTGTGAAATGTATTATTACTTGCTGTGTTATCTACAAAGATAGGAGTAACTTGAGCTCAAAGAAGGCTGCCCAGGTAGAGGCCTCATCTTACTTACTTAAAAATATAAATAACTTATTATCTAATGCCAATCCTGACAACTATTCTGTTTGGAATTCACTTGGTGCCTTCCCATGAAAAAGTTTTATTGGGTTTTGTCAATGATTTTTTGGTGTCTACACAGAGCAAAGGTAAACAGCCCAGAGGGGAAAATGAAATCAAATAGAGTTCTTGTCTTACAAGCAGTCCAAAACAATTTAAAAACCATTTTAGTTCTTTTGGTTTTGTGTAGACACTCCCTAAAATAACAGAAGTAATTTGAATAGATATTTGCTGAACCATAGGAGGAGATTCATGTACCTCCAAACATTGGGGTTTTTGATGACCCAGCTGCAGTGATGGAAATGTTCTAGTCATATGTGGCAAACCAGCACTTGAAATATGGTTACTTAACTAAGGAAATACACTATTTTAAGTAATTTCAATTTAAATAGCCATCTGTGGTTGTGGCTACTATATCAGAAAGCTCATCTCTGGAAATTATTATGTCTTAATAGGCAATATTTTATCTAGGACACATACTGGAAATGCCTCCCAAAGTTTTAGCAGTGATGTTGACCTGGGACAAAGTCAACTTCAAGGGATGAAACATTTGAGATGAGATAAAAATGCAGTTGATTAGTTATTTTAAATGATCCAAAAGGAGACACTAATCTGGAAATAGTGGTATCATAGATAGTAATTATATTCAGAAAGCCAGTCCTGACCAATGCAAAAATGTATGTATGTAGGGTAAGAGCAGTAATGAAAAGTTCAATTAATGAAAATAAACAGTAAGACTATGCTCATGCAAAGGAATATTATATTCTATTTAATATCAAATATAGCTCAAATAGTATCAATTTTCTAAGCATTAATAACAGAGACAAAGGAATTATATGCTGAAATTAAGCTGTCGGGTTAAAAAGAAACAAAAGCACAGACCATATACTTGAAACAGGACCATGTCTTTCCAAAGGGGACATCCTATCCACTATTCTCTGAGGGAGGGTCTCTGAGAGGAAGATGGGTTTATAGTATAAGCCGCAAAGTAAATAAAATAATGAAGCAGAAATGTCCCTTTATCCATTGTTGCTCTAAACAGTTAGTCTCAATGTATTTCAGTCTTGAGTGTTTTCATTTTGAACAGCTCTGCTCCGTCATTGCAGCTTGCCATCTGGTGCATGCATGCTTCTCCTCATCCAACTGCACATTGCAACTAATGTCTATATAAAAATGAATTTGCTTGTTGGCTTACCATGGGCAGAAATTACAACTGCCCCAGCACTGCCTGGGTTTTCCCCAAGAAGCTCAGTTTTCCTCTAAGGTTGCTTCTTCCATTAGAATTCCATTGTTGAAAAGAAAAATTTGCGTGTACACAAAGAGTAAATCTTAAAATTGTAACATTATCTGTGCACTACTGACATTAGATATTCAGAGCTGGGCAAGGGCTTCTGCATTCAGATTGAAAAATTGTAGGGTGTATAGGGGTGTAGCTCAGCTACTTGTTGAATTTTTATTTACACAAACAAGATTTCTGTTGCTAGATGATAAGAAGAACCTGACCTACTTCAGATAGCTTTAGATCTGGCCACCATGATGCCTTCTCCACATTCCTTTCTAAGAAGAAGGGCACCTCAACCTCTGGTTCTTGCATCTGCAGCCTGAATTCAGCATGTTTCCTTATAGTTTCTATTGCTACTTGGCAGATTTATGTTCATGGCAAACTTGTAGATGCCAAATAAACAAGAAGACCTCATTGTGCTTGGGACATGGCTTATTGATGGCCAGCAGGACCCTTTTCCAGTTGGATGAACAATATTAACTGAGGCAGCATGGCTTTATAGGGATGGGTGGATAAGAATTGTTGCCTCCCTCACCTGGACTGGTCAGAACCAGAAGATGCTCTGCAAATTATCCTCTGTTTCAGATGCTATCCTTGTAAAGGATCACAGGGCAAAATGATAAGCAGCCCTAAGCTATCTTTGTCCTCAACTGCCATCCATTTTCTAAGCCAATGCCCCCAGGTAGTGCAGACAAAGTCCTCAAGTATCTGGATTGGTTGCAGATAGTTTAGACTCTGGAAGGTCGGTAGCAACCAGAGATGTCAGGCAGGTGGACAGCTTGGGACACCTCCTTCTTGGATATGAGAATGTATGACTGATTAACTCTGAGAAAGAGGCTAGACATACACTGGGCCAATGAGCACGTTCTATGATAAAGCATGTTTTAGAAGAATAATTTGTGCCTAAAATAGAAAAGCTAAAATAAGATATTTTAAATATAAGTTTATATTCTGATGCTGTTTTTTTACTACCATTTTTTTGCACCTACTATATGGAAAACATATACATGAAAACTTCTGTTGTTCTCCAAGGGAATTATTACATAAAATAGTTGAGTTGTCAATATAAGGAGGCATTTGATTAAGAAAAAAAAAAAAAAACTCAA